TCCGAGAGAGTTCCGAGTTAGGCAGCATCCAGTCAGTTGCATTCTTGCATTTGGAGTGTAGTATTTGTGATACTGCAGATAGCAGTAATTGTGAATCTGTAATTTGGGTGATTGTAAGTGCGAATGTGAAATAAAATTGCTATATCAAATACGGCGTGAAGTTATTTGTCGCGTTATACCCAATACGTGACAACTCGCTTCGGCTCCGCTCGGCTCACTTCGGCTCCTCTCGGCACGTCACCGCCGCCTGGGGGGAGAGTGGTGTCCTGCGTAGCGCGACAAGTAGTAACGAGAGCGCTACGTTACCGCCACGTGCCGCTGGGGAGGTAGGGGTCCTCCGTTGCGCAACATGTCACACTGCTCCCTCCTTAAGGCTGTTCGTCCCGAATAGCCTAACGGTGCATCTCCGTTCCTTTGCTTCGGAGGCTGTTCTTGCAGCATCTGTTCTCCGGCCGTTACAACCGCTCCCTTCTTAAGACCACCTCGTCTCGAGCAGTTTCCTTTCAGCTCGCCAGAAGATCAAGTTGTGTCCCATTCATCCATCACTTTCATTCTATGGCACATTCACTCTCTCTGGGGAGGCCGGTTCTTCTACATTACTGGTTCCTCCTCTGCTTGAAGTCTCTTTTTCCGTTTTGGAGGGATCGTCCCCTCCACAAGGTCCAATCCTTGATCATTCCTTTCTTCGGAGGTTCCTTATGTCGACGTAACAGCTCTTGATGCCTTGTTTGCACTCGCTGACGTCGTTGTTCCTTCTGGACTTCCCGCCACTTGCTGGTACAAGACGGTGGAGCCAAGTCCTTTCTCTGGTATCCGAAGGTTCCCTGGGGAGAGTCCTTCTTGAAGTCATTTCTCCAACGTCGTGCTGCTGTCGCGCGACGGGATATCTTCCTGCAGATGGCAGCCGACTTCATCCGGGATTCATAGTCTCCTCGGGTCCAAGATTTATTGAAGCTGTTTCTCCGGCGCCATGCCACTCTTGCATGGCGGGACACCTTCCTGCTGACGACTGCCAATTTATTTTGGGGTCCGCAATTTTCCCGCGTCGGCTTCTTCATATTTCGTTGATGTCGGTCCCTGCGCCTTTTCTTCTTCGGTTCTCCTACCGGCTTTACTTCGGCGTCTTGTACGGGTACCTCTCGTTGTTTTGCCGCTTCAGGTGTCATGTTCACTGAGGCTGGCTCTTCTTCTTCTAGACGTGCCTCCATCTCTTGGCAGGCCATCGTCTCTCCGACCGGTATTATTTCGGGGACCTCTTCTTCTTGTGCCGTGCTTGCTTTGATTCCTCTTGTCTCCGCGGCAGTCTTTTCTCGCTAAGCGGCCATTTCTTCTCGCCAGGCGTGCCTGTCATCCTCCATTTTGGCTAGGAGTTCCTTATGGCCGGTTTTCCATTTGGTCTCCGTCTCTTCTTGGTAGGATTTCATGCTGGCGTCCATCCGTGCCAGCATTTCTTCTTTGTCTTTTTTCCTATTTGCTTCCATTTCTTCCTTCTCTTTCTTTCTATTGGCCTCAACCTTCGCCAACATTTCGATTATTCGCTGCATCTCCATTTTGTAGCAGTAAAGTACTTGATGCACAATAATTCAATTATTTGTCGAGGCGTGTTCAAGTTCGTGAAACAATTCTGACACCAAATTGTCACGTGTCTTGAGTTCGAATCTCATCGATCACGTGTGTAAGTCCAAATCCCACTTCTGACACCAGTTGTCACGTATTGGGTATAACGCGACAAATAACTTCACGCCGTATTTGATATAGCGAATTTTATTTCACATTCGCACTTACAATCACCCAAATTACAAATTCACAATTACTGCTATCTACAGTATCACAAATACTACACTCCAAATGCCAGAATGCAACTGACTGGTTGCTGGCTAACTCGGAACTCTCTCGGAACTAACTCGTAGGTAGCTGTCTTGAGAACTGTCGTTAACACACTGACTCTCGCTTGCTGCTCAGCCGGCTTTTATTCCGTTCGCTGTTGCTAGGGTCGTCTATCGCAACCACTGTTTATCCGCGTTGCAT